AGAAAGAACAATGAACACTAAGTAGTTGTTTGATTACAATGTATCCTTCTTCTTTGGCAAAGTCCACTGTAATGTAGCATGATATATTACTAGACTCCACAAAGGTTCCATTCATATTATCACATGCTTATCATGCACGTGTGCTCCTCTTTTTGCCGTACACTGTCCTTTCCCAGTCAGTTCGTTTAGAGCTTCGGTTCATTCACAACAGCGTGTTTTCCCTCCCACCCACCCCTTTGTTCCTGACTGGAACCTTTGTTCAGTTCTTCGATTACTTCTTATGTTCCCTATATATTTCAAATCAAATCAAAATCTTTATCTCACTTCGAATTCCAAAAGATAGCATCAACTAATGCTCATATCTCCGAAGGTATAGCAAAAACAAATAGAATATAAATGACAATGGTAATTAGAATAAAGTAATACTATATATTATGTACAAGTTTAAGATAATGCAGAAACAAGACAATTATTTTATACAGTGTGTCTACAGTACCTAGAGATAATTAAAACTAATTACAAAGGAGCAGCATTTATTATCTATTATTAATGCTCTTAATTTTTGATTTGAAAACATGTAATGATTCAGCAGTTCTAAGTACCTCTAGGAGCATATTCCAATATTGGCTGGCAGAGTTGCAGAGTAGCAGTATTTAGCACGACCAGAATGTATTTTAAGCAGATCATTACCTTTTTCCCCTATATATATGTATCCTTAAGATTAATCATTTATATTATGGTGTTATACTCCACTAGGTCTCATTCCTTCATTAGGTTCCAGGGAGATGAAACTGCTGTCTGGCTTCCAAATAAAATGAGTGGCAGGGAAGTGCAACCCCTGGCTGCACTTTACCCCACAGTAAGGCTTAGCCCTTGGAGACAGGTCCGGAAAAATATCCACTCCAGGGTGTGGACCCCCGGTCCCACCTGATCTGTACTCCACCCAGGAGGGCCACCCCTCCTGGTTCCCCTCAGTTCCTGTACTGGGGGATATGGGCCTCACCCCCGGAGACTGATCAGGATTCCTGTCCAGGGTGGCTACCCCTGGTACCACTCGATCTTGTCTGCCCCCAGGAGGGCTTCTCTCCTGGTCCCCTTATCCCTAGATGTAAGCGCTTCCCTGCCACCAGAATTTTGCCCATTACCCTTTGTGTGTTTTCTATGTGGTACCGACATAAGCATTTATGCGGAAAAACATTGCCAATTGGAAGAGTTTATTAATATCTTATTAATCAATCTCCTACCTGCATGGTACAAATGTTGTACTTATTACTTGCATGGAAAAGAAGTTGTTTACACGTACTCCCCGAGGTCCAGCGTGAGAGCTTTTTCCATTGATGAACCCGCAGTATATTGAGAAATATATGTTAAAGATGGACCTTAAGCCAGAGCCAAAGTATTTTCATTTGTGCCCTTTTTGAAATGTGTAGAAAGTGTTACTTAGTAATCATTGGTCATGATCAGTGTTGTAAGAGCCATAACCACTGGTTCCTATAGAAAGAATGTAGTAGAATTTGGTTTTATGAAGGTTTCTCAAAATACTTCATATATGTTCCTTCAGTGCAGCGCCCCATGTTTCACCGGATGCAAGGGAGGTAATGTTATCCGTCCTCAGGGTGGATTTCAATTAAGAAATCCAAATCCGGATTTTTTGGATTTCCCTTTTTGTCGTTCGATTGGGAAATCCGAAAAAGGATTTGCTAAACTGTTCTTGTGAACAGCGGACTATCTTGTGCTAATTATGCCTATGCATTGGCACACTCAAAATGGCGGATGAACAGAGGGCACTGATGGCCATGTCGACAGTTCTTCTTTTTGAAGAATTGTTTGACAGGACGATTGAACAAGAAGTGCAGGAAATGGGTAATAGTGACTCGGATGATGCTCTGCTGCTTGCTGTGCTTGGAAAGGGCAGGTTTCCTTTAAATCGAGTAAGAATCATTGGATATTTTGAAGTGGTGGTACCAAGTTATGGTCCAGATTGTTTTCGATGTCATTTTTGGATGAGTAGAGAGAGTGTTGCTTTTCTTGAAGGTCTGCTTCACGTTTGTCCAGAGATGATCCCTTATCAAGCTCATGACCATGGAGGCAGAGCACCAGTTGAACTTGGGAAGCAAATCCTCATTACCATTTGGATGCTAGCGAACCCGGAATGTATTAGATTGGTATCGGATCGATTTGACATTTCTCGATCAACTTGTTATGAGATATACATGCGAGTCTGTGCAGCTATAACGAACAACTTGGCACAGAGATTCATTCATCTCCCAGAAGGGAACGACGCAAGAAACACCATTCAAAAGTTTGAAGAACAAAGGGGATTCCCCGGTATAATGGGCGCTATTGACGGTACCCATATCCCGATTCAAGCCCCCCTGAAAGATCCAGAACAGTACATAAACAGAAAGAGTTTTCATTCTGTACAGCTACAGGTTGTGTGTGACATGGACATAAAGTTTATAGATGTTTTCTGTGGCTTTCCAGGGTCTGTCCATGACGCCTGGGTGTTAAGAAATTCCCCACTGTTTGTTGATGCTGAGAGAGGCAGAGACCTGCTATTTCCCGGTAACTCTCATTAGATAGGTGACGTTGCCTATCCACTTAAGCCATGGATTCTTACACCCTATAAAGACACTGGTCGCCTAACAAGACAACAACAACACTACAATTTCATTCACAGTTCAACCCAGATGGTGGTTGAAAGATCACTAGGACTCCTGAAAAACAGATTTCAGAAGCTCAAAACATCCATGCTGAAACAAAAAATTAAGGATGTACCGATTGTTGTGGTTGTGGCATGTGTTTTCCACAACACATGCTTTATGAATAAAGATGGTATTGATGATTTCCTGGATGAGGGAGACAATGGC